ACATTTTTCTACCAATCACTTTGACTGTCCAAGAGCAGGTACTGAGGAACATTTATATCAAAAAATATTCCAATTTGACATAATGCGTCTAAGAAATTTTTTATGATTGTCAAGTATGTAGAGAAAGGAGAAAGAAAAATTTTCATTATTATAAGATGTCGGTTTCACCAAAAACATAGTATCAGGCTTAATATGGCTGTTTCTAAACTAGAAAGGAAGAATAGAATAAACACATCATATTTACACCATAGGGTAACTTCTCTAGTTAATATGCTGTGTTAATTCACCCCAATTTCCCAATATATTTTTACTCTAATCATGCATTCCGTAATGCTCTTACTCAATATTAGCTACATATAGTAAATGAACCCCTGAGTTCTGTGAGACTATTCTAATGCCTAAAGTTACATGTGAGAATAAATGTTTCCAGAATCTGGGTATGCACCTCACTTGTAACAATTTTTTCAAATACAGATGTAGAAGAATGCAACCCTGCTTATAGTAGCTCATCTTTCTCTTTAATAAACATACAGAATTGCATAATATTATTTGGAAATTTTAGATATTCTTGCAGTAGCCCTGTTAATTTCATCCACGACGTGGCCTAATTGTTCAGTGGCACACTACTGTCAGCATGGGCAGGGAACACTGAACTTAAGAGTCAGTTAAGGTTTTCACTGACTTAAATTCTTAGGCAAAAATAAGAGAGACAGAGGAAAAAAAACCTTGTTGCATCTCTAGCAATGTGGTTTAGTTTGAAAGATGAAAGGTGAAAGTGCTGAGAGCAGGATGTTGCCTAAATAGTGCCGCTTGTACTTGCCCCAGATGTGATGGAGCTGGCACGCTGTTCAATACAAAGTGATTAACGATTGCTTGCAATCGGCCTTAGAAATCAATTGGCATTGAGTGACATAATGATTCTATGACATCACAGCACCTCACAGCTGATTCTTTTTCTTGGACACATTTCTGCTCAGGCTGCCATTTTTGGCACTGTGAGTGGTCTCATAAAAATAATGGCCTTTATGATGTTCATGAATAAAGAAGTTTTCATGTGGGAGAGGTTTCTATTTCATTTAGCCAAATTTCATTTTTCTGTTCACTCATGTTCCTCTCCGTCACCACTTTTCAGAATGTCAGATTGAACTACACAAGCACTGTACAAGAAAAGTCATGTGTTTAAGGATGATGCGGTATTTTGGTTCAGAATCATCAGACTATAGGGAAATCATATACACAAGGAAAGGAAAGAAGGTCCTATCTCTACACTGGAAAATGATGCATTTACTGCAAATGTGGTGAGCCATGTCAATCTCTTTCTCTTGATTTCAGTTGTACCATTGTTGCCTGACCAGGTCATTATTTTGTTGCTATTTTTAGCACCGTCCTTAATAAGTTTTTCAAAAGGCAAATTACTTTACTATCCCAAAGTAATCAATGTTTTCAAATGACCCCCAATGCCTATTTTGAAACATATTTTAGGATGCTGTATATTAAGAAAAAAAAAAAAAGCGTGACAATGGAAATTGCAGAATAAAGGACAGCTTCTGCATTCTCTGTTCCCATATGATAGGTTTCTCTCTGCCTTAACTGCCTTAGTAGACTTTTCTGCATTTGTTTGAGTTTATTCAAAAAAAAAAATTAATTTAAAGGTGACAGGAGCTATATGTAACATTCTAAATGAAGTCTCCCCACCACCCTGTACCACGGTGCTGAGATCTTTCTATGGCTACTGAAGATGTCCTAGAACAGCATTAGCACTTTATATTGGCAGCTAACAGACATCCTATAACCAATGAACCTAACCAGATCCCTCTTCTATCCTGTCACATCCAGATGATGAACCTCCAGGTTATAGTAAAATTCTTGCTCTTGATCCCTGAGTATATGACTTTGCATTTGCCTTATTAAATTTCATGCCGCTACTCCAGTCCACAAGGTCATCCTGTTCTTCCTGTGTCACCATCCAGTCCTTCTTGGAACTGAGAAGCTTAGTAGTCTCCTAGATTGAAATATGAAGTACCATCCTAACTAACAAGGAACAGTCAAGAACTTTGATAACTCATAGCTTTCCTAGAGGAAAATCCAATAACATAATAAAATAAACTAATAAAACCTTAGTCCAGTCTATAGGGTCACATACAGTCATCTAATATATCACTTAAATTACAATAGACCACATCTGAAAGGAGGACTCTGGATTCAAGTATTGATTTACCAAATACTTCCCTGTCATCACCAAATCCTTGCATCTAGAAAATAGAGATGGAAACTTTGGATTCTGTATTCATATTAATTGTAGGCTAAAGAATGTGCATTTCTTCACAAAGAATTATATGCTCATAAATGAGCACATAAAACTGAAAGAAAGCAAGCTTGATAAATCTGGTCCTATATTGCACTATTACTTGCAATTTGCTTTAGCAAAAGATGTATTGGCACACACAGCAAAAAATAACTTTTGCACTAGAGATACAGTTAGCTTACATTTTTACTGAAAAGTCTTTTGGCCTAGTTTACAATTTGTTCCTCAGTATGCACATACATGCACAGCAGAGAGCATCAGTGACCATAAACACAAGCAGCACAGCACAGGCAAGCATGTGCTAGGAAACAAGATATCAGTTGATGCATTTGAAGTAAATGATAGCTTAAGTCTTACTAAAAGATAGAGCAACATCGTAACTGTCAGAGCAATTTTCCACATCAGTAGTTTAACACCTGAACTACTGCTTATTTTTGCAGCTGAACTCTTCCCAATTTCTATCTGTTCTCCTTTGAATCAACATCAGTTTTGAGATGTGTCATAAATAACGTTTGCCTAAAAGAGCCAAATGCATTACTGAGGTGGAGACGTAATAAGGAAACAGTAGTACCTTAAAAAAAAAAAAAAAAAAAAAAAAAAAAGATTGGCTCAAATTCCTGTTTCATTTTCTGTAAACATCTGGGTTGTAAATAACTGTAGGCTTCACAGGCACTATAATATTAAGCTGCCTCTGACTCAATGTCATAAAGATTGAGTTATTAATTTTAACTTAATGTCACCATAATTTTCAGCTTTGCATATGAGTATAATCTTTAAAGTCTGTTACCAGCTATCTTGGGAACATAGCATAGATGGCAATGTTCTTATGTCTTCTACCTCGCATGGGAACAATCGGCTAAGTATATTTACTTGTCAGGCATTTTTAAAGGTTTGCTCATAGTTCGGTAGCTCTGCACAAAGAAATGTTGATTTCAAATGAAAAAAGATAAATTATTTAATAAACTAATTTTACAGATTCAAAATAGTTTAATTATTTCCATAGTCTAAGAAAAACCGAAAACAAATTGTGAGGTGTAAAGGAATCACTTATTTTCAAGGTTAGTCCTTCAAAAAGCCATGGAGAAAGAGACTCAGAATATAGAAACCATCAGTGAAAGGGTTGTTGTTGACTTCTGTCCCTAAAAATAGAAAAATAAGGCTACAGCCGGCTCACCAAAGCAAGTGAGCTCTGGCTGACCTGCAATAAGGACTATTGCTTGTACTACGCCTCTCAAAGGACTATTGCAGAATCTAATCAAACTACTGCTGTGGGGAAGATGAAATTGGACTACAGTTTTTGGAAAATACTCTTTAAACAATCCCCAATTATCAGCCACACTGTTCTACCCAAAGTCTTTCTTCAAGCTGTTTTGACTCAAAACTGTTTTCAGTTTCATGAAACTGTCCTTAAAGAACCAAGTGACTATATCTTTCCTATCCCCAACTCTTGAGTGCTCAATGATTGGGGGACTTACTGACAGGAAGAAAAGCCGGTGGTGAGCAGCTAACACCCAACTACAAAGCACTGGAACGTCCCAGAAGAATCATACATAAGAGGATCAAGTCTCAGCTTATAGCAAAAATACTAGCATACATAAAGCCATCTTTATAAAAGCAAAAAGGCACCAATCACTAATCAGTCCTCCCAGAAAAAAATTTTTAGAGTCCTAAAGCTTCCACAGCTGTGCTTGCTCAGAACCTAGTGCCTAGCCATTCTCATTACTTACATGGAAACATGCTTAGCCCCAAAACCTTGCAGCACATAGATTCTGGCACAGAACTGGAAGGAGATAGTGTGGCTATAGATTTGTTTGCAAAATATAATATAGAAGAAATATAGTAATAATATGGGTAACACTAACTTGTTTTCTTTTGCCCTACTGATAAGGAATCCTGAAGGGTATTGAAGACAGCAGGTTCACATATACGAACTATTTTCCTCTCCAATGTGGGTGGTAAGCCAAAAACTTACTAGGCATCAGGCCAGCAGGAGGGAACAGTGATAAATAAATGAGAGTAGAGGTAATTGTAGCACTTATTTGGATTAGAGGCAGATCACCAATGAACTCTTTTGCCACTTGTTTTGTCCTAAGGGAAATCTGACTTTCCCAGATTTAATTTAATCATGGAAAAATATGTCAAATATTGATTATAACTAGAAACTAAAGTCTTCTACAAGCATGTATACATTAACACTATCACTCAGACATGACCTGGAAGAAATCTGCTTTTTTGGCTTTCTTCTTCCTGATTCCCACTTCTTCCTATAAGTTGTCTTTATACAGAATAGCATGTTCAAACTTGTAAACATCAGTTTTGCTGATGAAAAAGTCCATGAGGGAATTTGCTAAAACCATTAAATTTATGTTGCTTGTGAGGCTAAGCATAACTAAAAGCCATGTCTTCCAACTATGAAAGCAGAATACAATAAAGCCCCCGTGGAAGTACTGTATATCAACATTGGTTTCGTTTTATTGCAGTTTGAAATAATATTCTAGTAAAATCTAACAGTAGGAGAATTTGGCAGAAAACACTAGTGAAAATCCTAAAATAGTGTTGTTTGTCCATGGCCCTCAAGGAATACAAGGAAAGAAACAAGTGACAGACATCTACAATGTGTTAGCTTGCAGAGTTGAAAAATTAAATTAATGGATAGAAGATTTCTGTAACAGGACTTCTGCCACTTCTTCCTTACCTGCTCAAAGTCCACATTTTCTGCCCTTTAGTGTATTGTCTGTTCCAGATCACGCCACATGATGTCACATTTTGAGACCTGTCAGTATTAAAGAAAGTCAAGGAGCAGTTTCACTTCCCTGAGAAAGTTTTCAAGATTCCAAAAATTTCCCATTCTGTATGGGAATTAAACCAACTCTTTCAGAAGAGAAATAACAGTGGCTGTCTTTGCCACACACCTCAATTACTGAATAGCCCAATGGTCGTGCAACTCAGGGAGGCAGAAGTTCAAATCCCTGACCTGAATCAAGAACAGGCATTTGAACTTTAGCCAGTTCCCTTCCAAACACTGGCAATTTGAGATCAATAGTCTCTTTCTCATTTTGACCAGAAATTCACTGTGGTCAAAACCGGTATGTATGTTCTGACAAAAAGACAGTCAGCGAACTGACACTTTCTGATTAAGAAAACATTACCGATTACCTCTACTTACTTCTCATTAGGACTAACCATCTTTCATCTCTGACTGTGTCCCTACTCAGACTTCTGCTTTTTTCAGTGTCACACACTCAAATATGCATATTCCCAAAGAAACCTATACAAGCTGAATTCATGACCAAAGGCAGTTTTAGAATGTGATTATTGCAGTTTAGAGCCTTGAAAACATTTTTTTTTTTAAGAAGTGGCAAACTGTGATCTCCATAGCTTTAACAATAAAATATTTGACATTGGCTAGACCTAAACGCATGTCACTTTTACATATATACCATTTTGCTAGCTTTTTTTAGTTAACATACCATTTTGCTCGCTGCTGACTGCAATGGGAGCAGGACAAATTCCTTCTCTTGTCACAAAAATCGCATGTACTCTGTTTAGGCAATGACCTGGGACTCAGTTCTCTCATCTTTCTGCCCTTGTTGCCTGATACATCTCTGACAAAATAGTTAATTCAGTGTCCCTTACTTTCTTCTACCTATTTCTCAGTAAGTGTCCCTCTGGTGTATAAGCCTGATACAACCAAAGGCTCTCTCTTGTAAAACCATTCTGCTAACAACCATCATTTCCAGTTACAGAGACACAAAACATGACTTTCATGATGCTGTCGCAGCTTGCAAGTCATATGAAGGTTTTTTGCTCTATCCCTATACATCTGCAAGTCGCAGAAGACTTTTATACTAAATTCAAAGAACAACCAACGTGGTTTCCAGAGCCTTGTTCTGTTAACCAAATAATAACATGTGGTATCGCCTTGCTTCACTGAAGATATTCAACCGCCTAACAGTTCTAGTTAGACTGAGTCTAATTCTACAGAGTCCATTTTTATACCCTGCTTCCTAATCTATTCAATTGGGGAAAACAGGAGTATGTCTAAATCTGTAGTTGAAAAATGCAAACTCCACATTCATTAGGAGATCCTTCTCAAGCCTTAAGAGCAACAAAAGAGCAGTAACGTTTCAGCTTGGGTCCCAACTACAAGAAGATAGAAAAGTTCAGAGCCCACAGACTACAGCCAAAGACTCCCTCTCTACTGATTTCAGCTCCTTCATGATGCACAATGCACACATCTCCCATTTTGCCCATACTACTATAAGCAGACAGTATTAACACAGCTTGGAAGTTATTTTCTGGTTTGGACTTGCTGTCATTGGACTAGAATCTCTCCATCTGCATCTGTGTATTTCTCAAAATCTTTATTTGGACTGAATTTCAGGTCACCGGGCATCTTTGCAAAATACTGCTCTCACGTTGGTGGTTTGGATGGACACAGATTTTCTTGCACAGTTCATACATCTAAAAAGTCTTTTTATCTTTTTCATGTCTGTTGGGCCTGAAACACCATTGTCATCTACCTGCACAGTTTGGTGTGTTACATTTCCACCCCAGGGTGCTACTGTATTCCACGGGATTTACATTTCTGCTTGCTCCCATTCAGCCCAGCAACGCTCATTCTTTCCAAAGCTATTCCGAGCTTCTGACTATGCTACTCTACTTTCTCTCTAAATCCAAATGTAATCTGGACAGTCCTAAGACCTTCTCTAGTATCCAAGTTTGTTGCATTTTCCTATCAAACACACAGAGTATCAAAAACAGCCCCAAAACATCACCCCAAAGATACAAAATGCCAAACATCCTTAGTCATATATTTTGGTTTTCTACAGACAGCTGCTTGCTGGAAACCTCCTGGAATAACAAACATTTTCCCCCCAGCCACTCCAGTCACCTACACTAGGAAGAACCAGAGAAATTCCTGAATATTCTGCCCATGTTTTCAGTGCGAGTTACTAAGCAATGACATTGTTTGGATGTTTAATGCTACTGCTTCACTACTCCTCTAGCACCTGTCCAGTCAATGCCTGAGAGAAGAAGATAAATATATTTATAATACACAGTAAAGTGAATAACAAAGAGTTTATATAGTTGTCTCTGACAAAACTGACAAGCTGTAGCTGGCAGCTTTAATCAGCTCCCAGCTGAGCCTGGGAAATTGGAGGGAGCAGAGTGCTGACCTTTCTGATGAATTTCTGAAGAGAAGGTTAAAGTTTTGTTTACTTTTTTAATGGGAAGAGGTATCAGTTTCTAAGACCTTTGGATAAATCTGAGATTCCTGTGCAAAAGGACTGTAAATCACTTTTAACAGAGTAATTACTGGTTTATCTAAAACTGATTTTTCAAATAAAGGGATATGGACTAAGGATACATAGATGAAAATGCCTATAAGGTCTGATGCCACAAATCACTTTTGCCAGATGTCAAAAATGTACTAGATAGGATTTTCATGTCTGGAATGTGAAAAATACACTAGGATATAATTTAACATTAATTTTTATAAGCCAGTAGTTCTCAATACCATTCATTTTCTTATTGCAACAGGTATTCTGCTCCTACTTGTTTTGTATGGGAATAGTGTGATAGTGTGCATTTGCTTAACTAGTGCCACGAAAACAAAATTGTAAATACTGATTAATGATATGAATAGATGTTTCAAAATAAGTTGTAATTTCCTGTTCTTGGAGTATGTATAAAATCTCTGCTATCGTTTTTAGAAACTGCTGAATATCTATACTTTGAAAATTAGGCACATCTGAGGATGGAGAGATCCAGAAAAAGTTTTTCAAATGTTTCACCTTACGGTGCAGCCACTATGCAAACTAATGTGACAAGGGATTTTGTTTTTCTAAAAGGCTAAAACTGTTTTCTGATGAATAGTATCAGTCGCACAGAAATATTCTGCTCATATTGCTAGGTCAAGTGCCTACTCCATATGGATGGCTGATACAGACCTTGCAAGACTTTAGGAAGGCTGATGACTTTTAAATCAAGACCAAGGCAAGTTTTGCAGTAAGCAAACTGCAAACCTTTTGCTTTTTTATAATCTAATTTACCAACCACTTTCTGTCCACTAACGTTTAAAAAAATGAATCCATAGCTTTAAATCACTCCCCACATTCACACTCCCACACCTCCAAAGATCTTTGCTGAACTAGGCATCATATAAGTCACTGTACCATTTTTCAAACAGCACTGAAGAAACTTGAGTATCGATTTTTGCCAGAAGAGTTTACGATACACCCAGATGTCCATCAAGAACACTTGCACAAGGCAAGTAGTTTCATGTTCTAGCTTGTTTTTTACTTTTTTGCTGTTCTATTCCAATCTCTTGGTATCAGCAGCAGACATGGAAAGCTCAGACCTATAACCAAATTTCCAATTTACACTCATTGTTCATGAAGCATTATAAAGCAGTTTCTTCTGGTTGACATCAGCGCGATTGTTCAGTTAGGCTCTCAATTTACTAGGAAGACGATAAACAACCTAAGTGCCCATAGGAGTGTTTCCATGATCAACATAATGGAAAGACACTGACTGTAGTAGCATCTTTCTATTCTTCCCGATGTGGTTAAGAGATGCTTTAGAGACATCTGCATTAATGGTAAGAAAGCAAATTGTTTGCACTCCTTTGTGAGATAAGGCTATACCATGTTCTTACAATGAGGGGAAATGAGGATCAGGAGGTAACAGCACATCTAACTAAGGCACAGTTCCTGCTGGTCTCAGAGAAAAGCTCAGTCTCCTCAGCAGCAGAAGACATCAAAAGTGAACTATATTCTTACTCCAGGCATAAGGCAATCCCCAGATTATTAAAAGTTTTTATAAACTGTGACGGAGGATAATTCGGTAGCTCCTTTAGTCCTCTCCTGCATGCTAGTGCAAGTATAAGCTAAAGAAATTGACAGGGAACATAAAAGCTGCATTAAGAAAAAGTAAATATTTATACTGCTACAAAATTAATATGATGCCATTGTAGTTATATATTCTCATTTGGCTGAGTTAGTTACACCCGTGAATATATATAAACAGCAATATTTTTAATATAATTGTGGGATACCATTCCCACTACTTAAAGCATAATAACAATCAACAAGTTAATTTTACACTAATAAACCTTTTCCTTGAGTGGGAGTCAGGGAACACAATTAAGATTCTGCATAAGTTTGAAAGAATCTACATCCCGAAATAGAAAGTCAGGAGAAGCTGACGAAACTTAACGACAGTCACTATCACTGCTGTAATACCTGTCCAATTACAAAAATTACACAAATACAATCAGATAAAAATGCTACATTCAGTCAAAGTAGTAGTCCACATAGTTCAGGTTCCTTTCCATTGACACGCTCAAGGCATGTAAGATATCATTACCTATCAAAAAGTGGGTATTTTTTTATCATTTATTTAAATACCTGATTTTTCATGTGAATCATGCCAAATGCTTGAACTTAGAGAGACCATGCAACGGTGAGTTCCACATCCTTCCTTTTCATCACTGTGCCACTTCTAAAGTTCTTTGGATATCCTTTTGCTCTTGTGTTGCGAGACAAATTTATATGAAAGTTTGATTCATGTTCTCTAGACCACTCATCTATAATATCTTTATCAAGTCCCACCTTATTCATTTCCTTTCTAGCTCTTCAACATACTCTGAGTTTTTCTAGACTGCAAAATATGCCTGTCCACATCTCTAAGACCCAGCAACATTTCAGAACTGTCTTTGAAAATCAATTTAAAATAAATAAAATTTGCCATTTAAAATTCATTTACATGCAAAAGAGCCAACGATTTTTAAGTGGGCTTTTAAGAGTGTTAGATCTACTCCCAAATCAGAGCATCACACAACGTCCTGCTTAGTTGCTTAAGGATGCGAGCCAGTTTCTTGGATCGATTCAAAGCTGAGTAGAATGACACCTTGAGTAGAATGACACTGATTCAGCTGAGCTAAGGATCCAAACCCAAATGACTATACTGAGAGGAATACACTTGGAAAAGCTCTGCAGCAGTAGTTACCGAACAGTCCCATGGGTTAACGTTAGTGCTTTCCCCAGCTTCACATGGGAATAACCTCCCCGACTGGAGTACAGTTCCTTTTTCATCAGAGAAATCAGAATCAGCCTCCTGAATCCGAACGTGTGATGTATAGGACACCTCGTTTTTTTGCATGTGCTGTATAGCAGTATATATATATATATGTATATCACTCTAGTGGCAGACTCAGGGAAAAGAACCAGTAAAATACTTCCTCAGGGTAAAACACAGTTCCCTGGAGTCATAAAGCCTAAAGCAGAAGGTATTTTACCCAAGACATACGCTGTGTGGTTGTTGTTCTTGGGGGAGAGGGAGGAGAGCCCTGGAGGTGTTGTCCTAATATGCTGATATTCCAGTACCTGGGACTTCATCCTACCTGCCCTTCGCAGACTCCAAATGCAGAACTTCATTACTGACACTGATGGGCAAAAAGGGAAGTGAAACAGAGAAGTCGAGATGCCAGTGCAGAAATACCTCATGTTTAGTGAACCACAGTGAGGAATG